GTAGATATTTATATAAAAACGAGATTTCTCTATTTTCACGTGTATCTCATATTATTTGAAGTGTATTAACATAATAACAGACGGCTGGAGTATTCAAACATAAAGAATTGAGGATTGAAGGGTCGTAAGGATCAAATCGAACTTTCGAAGCTTTACGTTTGAGTCCTGAACATACGAAGACAGCCTTTAAGGTTGAACTTTGACGTTTCGAAAAATCGAGTGTTTCACAGCACTAACTGAGTATCCCACTTTTACATTAATCTTTTCGTTTAGATCAATATTGCTTATTTTTGCAATTCGAAGCATTCTAAGAGTACCCTCAACATCTGCTAAACAATTAACCATTGGTCATTTTTGAAATCAGGGATATATACCGATTCTTTTCGCTGTTTCTTAGAACAGTACTATCAAAAATACTTAATGTCTCAAAAATGTACAAACTTTCATCTAATTCAACTTCCAAATAACTCTTCAAAGCAATTGCATTTCTCAAATTTCTTTCGATGCATTCAGATTTATATCTTTTTAATACCACCTTAGTTGTTTAATAAAAATATTTAATAAAAAAAACTAAATCTCTCATTCTTGTCTTGTGATTGATGGCAGTGTATGTACTTAAGTGTTCCTATATTTTCAATACTATTTCAAATCTATTAGGTTCATACATCATGAAGAGGGTATTATCAAGCATTATAAATAAATAATTAAAAACACTATTTCGAACATCAGAATTACATAAAAAATCAGGCTATAACCAACGAGTCTTCCTTACAAGTAATAATATACCTTTAACCTTTTGTACTCCAGAAGTATTTCACTCCAAATACTCAACATTTCTTGGCGAGATACACACCACATTTTCTTAAATTAATTTGACGAAAAATTGTACAAGATGAAAATTTCAGTTGCAGTAATTTTAATCTTACCTTCTTAAATGATGGAAATTGGACTAATTTTACTGACTTAATTTAATTAACGAAGTTAAAGGTACATTTCCTTTAAAATCGATAAATCTAGTCTGATTTATGTCATGTTTGAACTCATTTTAATGGGAAGAATCTCAACATTTCGTCGGTACTACGATTGAGAAGGTAAAGTTAAAATTAGTGCAATTGAAATTTTCTTTATTGCATGTTTATATTTGACGCATGTAGCGTCGTTTTGAAGTTCCATGCTTCGTCCCATTTCTGCTCATTGTATTCATTTTCTGCCCTATCTACTGAGATCACGTTAGACTGATCTCGAGACAGTGAGTAGTGGGGGAAGAATAGGGATGATATAGTAGAATTTAACCGAGCAGATTTTGTATAATTTAAGCGAGCATCACTGTAAATCTTATTTTCGATCCAGCGATGATAGGCGGTCTCGAAATCTCGTTACCAAATATTTAATTTCGTCGAGAACCAGACATCCCGAGGGAGAAACTGTTAACTTTTTACTGGAACTGCTTTATCCCGACGACAAGAAGGTTCGCTACGTATGTTCGAAGCTATTAGAAAAGTCCGCGAGGATAAAATCCCCAGTTCGAGACAGCAACTGCGAAGTCCGATTAAAGTGTTCTCGCACGTTTCGGATTTCGTGCTCGATTTAGCCGATTTGAGCTCGCGTCGAACTACTTCTTGCTGTCCTGTCCTGTCCCTCTGCCTATCTTCCTCCACGGCGCACCGTTTCACATCGACGATCGTTAAACCTATCTCAAACATTCGAAAAGTTCGACCGCGGTTGATATGTACAGTGTGTAGGTGCATTATTCGAACTTGCCAAGCGAATCAGCGACAAATGCACGCCGAAGTTTCTGGACTCGAGTGTGCTCGTTCTCACGAGAAATTGCAGCTTTTCTTAAATCTGAGCTGCATAGGGTGCAGTTGCATCGCGTGAATCCCACTTTACAAGACTGAAGTATTTTTTAGCACTATTTTTGCCATTTTACACGGACTGAAGCCTTGTTCTATGCTATTTTTCCCTTTTCATAAGATCTATGACATTTTTTAACACTATATTTACCGCTTTACAAGAGTTGAAGCAATTTTGAACGCTATTTTCATGGAAGCAAATGACACCTTTGAAAATCTTAACAATAATATTTTACAGTTTCTGATTTTCTTTTATGATTATCAAATAATTTTTTTTAATTATTAATTCTATAGTTACTTGTATACAAATGCAGAAGTGTCATTTGGTACCTCTTGATAAAAATAGTTTTAATATTTCACTGGCAGGTGCTATTTTCCGCTTTTGAATGTGTATAGGACAAACTGACTGTTATAAGTGTAATGTTATAAGTTCGGATGAACTTAATTGAAAAATGATTAAGCACGTACAGGTTTATTTCTCGTATTTAAAAAAATAAGTTGATCATTTAGTTTATTAGTTGAAAATATAAAATGGTGATGTATATATAGAATAACAATAGAATCATTTAAAGTCTGTTTTCATTGATGGATATTTTATTGAAAGATGTACACATATGCAATGATCTTTTAGTATTAGTCGTCTATTAAATATTCCACTATTAATCAATATCTTTATTAATACAGATTTAGAAATTGGCTAATTTTAAAAACCGAAGGATTGGTAAATTTAGAAAACGGCAATTTATAAATAATGGTCGATAGAGCAAAAGATTTTCTAGGCAATAGTTTCTATCACAATTTCATGATATTCTATGAATATTATTTCAATATCTCCGTTTATAAGTACCCGGGAGACTCGACACAGTATCCGTCCGCTCTGGACTCGAGGGCATTATTGGGACGAATTAATTAACTTCATTATTTCTAGCTGTGTTAATCGTGTAATTTAAAACAAAAATCAAATTGAACGGTGCTCGGAGCGATGTTCGGTTGTACGTTTGATGAGTTGGTTTTCATGGTTTCGTAGAGCAACGCGCCAATTACGAAAACGATTCGTAATTTCGAAACTGATGGAACAGTTCCCAAATGTGTCCAACCCGTAGCAGCTTGTTTCTGCTGTGTGTTCACGTCACTTTTCGTTTAATTGCATTACACCTGGATACAGAAATAGTGAACTAAATTCGATAAATGGTAATTGTAACTGATAGATTCAAACGGCATAAATCAATAGTAATTCAACTATCAGGATAAATGATTAACGTATTATCTATGCCAGGTCAATCGTATTAATTCCTTATTTACAGAATAATTAATTTCATGATCACTGAATAAAACCACACCTTATTCAAATAGTTACAACCTTCTTCTCAGTGCAAACTATACTCATCGTATTTACAGCATGCCTAAATAGACATTTCATATTTCTTGTTATCATGCATTTTGTTATTCACCATCATATTTAGCATAATTATTTTTGAAAAAATTCAAAATCTGCATTCTAATCGACATTTCTCGAAAATAACACGGAAAAGGAAATAGGATAATTTATAGATTCGTATTCAGCACTGTAATATCAATAGGAAGCGTTTATCTATTGTTACACATTCAAAGGAAACTTATCATTTGTTGTCTTATCAGATGGAATAATCCTTTTCCCGGAAGCTGATAAGAGTTATTAGATTGTGTGTATGAAAAACGGGTACACAAGAAATCATGGAAGTATGTGCCCGAACAATTAAACTTACCATCATTCACAGCGCAATTATTTGATAGTTCCATATTTTAAGTCAAAGATTCCAATGTTTACATTTTATAGGCCCACTGATCGAATAGAATTTTTCATAAATACACAAGAACAATGCATGTTCATTAATACAGAGAATTAATATGCATTGCGTACTGATTGTGCTTATATGTCTGTGCGAGATTTCAATCCAACAAATATCATTTTATTAGAGATAATCAGAATCGTTTACCGCTTTGTTACGCTCTATAATTCGATATTTCACAGAATAATGTCATTGCGTAATTAACAAATTTGAAACCGTGTATTAATTAGTTAATTAATATTTTTTAACTGATAGATATACGCACAATAATCATTTAAACTTAATCCAAGCTCGCGTTATTTGAAAACGTGATAAACAATTAATATCGGAATTGTGTCATGCGGAATCGTTAGTATTAGTTGCGTATGACCTACTGAGTAATTAGTTTAATATTTGCCTATAATTGTACCAGTATTCAAGACATTTGTATAACAAATTGTCGGTATTACTCTAACGTTTTCCTGTTATTGTTCTGCAATGTTTACGTCAATATTTTCCCCTTCGCGAATGAATAAATGCATTCAGAGACGTTTAAAGCAATTTTCATATCATTTCTACACACAAATTTGTCTTTAAAACAGTTTTAAACAAAAAAGCGATGAAGTTCGATTCATATACGAAAATACACATTTGAATTTAAAATAGTAATGGAATTGCCAACTGCACGCGTATCATTGCACTTAAAAATATATGTCCTTAAATGCACAATAACATAATATTAATAATGTAAAAATATTATTTCTGTCTAGTTACTCTCAGATGAGGGTTACAACTTATAATTCGACTATCCTTCACAATAGATCAATGTCCAAAGTACGAACTGGGAAAATACGAAAGTACGAATTTAAAATTAAGAAACTAAAAGTATTTGTCAAAAACTCCATATGATTTCACGGCATTTGTATCTCTGCAACGGTAAATAATCGATCGCGGAGATCTTCGTACAATCAAATATTCGATAAAAATATTTCCAGGTCGTTTCACGGTTAACCATAACGTCGAGTAAAACCGCGGTTGCATTAACCACAATTCCACTCCGCTCTGCGTTCGTTTTCGCGAGCATCCGTTGCAATTCTACCAGCATTGCGCGCACGGAACTCGTTTCGAGGGCACGAAATATTTATAAGCAAATCGACCTCTTTTTTAATAATTTTTTTCTTCGCTTTTCGTTTCAGCGAAACGCGATCGCGGGGCGAGTGTGCGGCCACCGCGCCACGCGCTGCGACGAGCAAAATTTAACGGGTTTAAAATTCAGGTTAGAGCGTAAGTGAATTTCCCGGGAGACGTTGCTGCCAGTCTGGGAAAATATATGGAAATGACAAAGTTTTTCTGCGCGGCCGGAGTACCTCTATTTGAAAGGCAGATCCGTACTTGCATAGGCGAAAGAATAATTTCGCACATCGTCTCGGCAGCCCGTGCCGGCGAGCTTTATTTCATGGTATATACAGGGTGTCTTGTAATCGATGGCACCGGACAGGGAATGGTAACCCGGTATGAAAGAATAGGAAAAGGATGTCGTTGGATAAAGTGATAAATATTAGGTCTACCGGAAAGTCCCGTCCGATAGTGACATCTCGAGTTTCCAAAGATGAGTTATTCTGCAGGAATGGAATCCGCGAATTACCATCACGCTGGGATGAGGTAATTAGTAACCATGGGCATTATATTGTTCAGTAAGTATTAATAAATGTACTGAAAATGTATTGTTTTCTTTTAAAAATGGATAGAACTTTCCTGTAAAACTGATATGTACAATAATTCATAAAAGTAACTTCCCACCTACTTACTGTATATTTTTGCATATTTAAGAATAATATTAAGACTAGAAATTAATTTAGCGATACCTATGTATACAAACTGATATATAAATGAATTGAGGTCTTAATAAATTCACTCTCGCAATTTCTGTAAGAAAATACAAGACACTGTATTTTTAAGTTTAATGGTAAACACAGTTTAATACTTCAATTTGATATACATTGATTTTTATGAACATTATTCGGTAAAGGGTTACGTTGATTTTGATTGGAATATTTATATGAATGTGTAAATTAATTGTTAATTTTTTAAGCTCTAGTTTCCAAGATCCAGATGTATGAATATCAATTTTTCTATTAATAATAAGACAAATTGCACAACAAATATCCGTAAACGTACTGTTAAGCCAATATATGTTTAAATGAACTGAGAATTATACATCATTAGATTATGACTACTTAGTTAATACTTCGTCACTCGTTGCCCACTCATTGACACGTACAGACTTAATTCGGGACGTTTAAGTGATTCAAGGTCTCTACATGAACTAGATGTGTTATTTCAGTTACACAATCCTACGTATTTTATAAAAATTATCATTAAAAAATATCTCTTAGACCACAACATGTGATCCAACTTATAGCTTACTTATTAAATTCATTCTATAATACATGTATGTTAAAAAATGAACGAAAAGAACTAACCATTTATAGTGGAAAGAAATAATTTAATTCCACACCTTCTAAGAGAAAACTACCTTTAAAAATTTGTATATACCTAGTCACGTAAACAAACGGAATATTTAATACGTTTATGTAAATGTAAAATTCTTAGAATTAGTTTTGATAAAATTATCTCACAACTTTCATAGGATGTTTCTCATATAATTACTTTATGAGAATGAAAAAAGGTATTTTCTAAAATCAATGACGACAAGTATTCATTTTATTCGCGTAGTTTAAGGGAATATTTTTGTTAGTCACGTGAAAAGTTATGAACATGCTTTAAAAAATGTTAATTTCAATAATATGACACTAACCTATATACCTAAACCGTTTCTAAACACCTTATAGTGAATATTTTCTTAATTAATTTTGTAGCTATATAATTTCAACAAGTCTCATCTCACAAATCGTGAGCATAAGTCTATACTCCAAGTTTACCCTAATTATTAAGTACTAATTATTAAATTAACCCTAAAATACAATAACCTTATTAACAACGTTGATCCGTCCAGGAAAAGACAAAAGTCAAAACAAAAAATCAGTATATTCGAAAAAGATATATGTACAGCCTGAAATCCAGAAGCACCAATAATGAAAATCAGAATCGGTTGTTTTTTTACTGTCCAAACCATCTATTTATCAGAAACAACTTATCCCCGAATAAGTTCGGATAAATAAAGTTCTACTCTAAAGTCTCCCAACAAGAGTTAATACACTAATGTTATTGTACAAATAATCTTCGCCTTGACTTGATGGCTATTATCCTTTCTATCAATCTTTGCACTGTTCAATTGCTCAGTTAATACAACATTCTTTAGCAATAAAAAAGAGCAAGGAAACAACAAAGTGAAAGTTCAAGATATTTCTGTATGCAATGTCTGGTGGGTCTGCATGGATCTACATACTGCAAGGGTTAAAGAGCACAATCTAAGCACCCATATTCTTGCAGGATAAGCAACATCTTCGCCAGTATATCAGAGATTTCGTCGCCGCCCAGATCGCGCAATATAATCGCCGCCTCGATTGAATCCATGTTTGACATGTCCTCTATAGTTTGCTCGGCTCTTCCCATTACCGTGGCCAAGAAAAATGCCGCAATCGCGAAACCAAACATGCCTTTCTCCTTGTAATCATTACAGATAGCCTCGTACGAGAACCGTTCGAGATTCTTAATACCGTTCTCCGTCAAACACTGTATAAGCGAGTCATTGTACGCTTTGAGACCACTGTCGATCAAGTCCTTCCCGATTTCTTCGGCACAATGCAGGCAGAGAAAGGTGGACAGATCGATTATAGGCGATCCGTAGCGTATTAACGCAAAATCGATTAACATAGCTCGTATTTCACCCCCCTCTTTCTTGAAGAAGATGTTGTTCATTGTGAAATCACCGTGGCAGAGCGTGACGAGCGGCTCCTCAGCCTTGATGCATCTCAATACCACGTTTTCGTACGTGTTGCTCAAATATACGTCCATTTTGTCACAGAAATCCTTGTTGTGGCCGTGCTTACGAAGATACTCGATGCTCCTGTTCGTTACCATGTTCGTAATAATCCCGAAACCGTTCTCCGGATCGTTGTCGTATCTCGTTTCCTGTATGTTCTCCACGAAGTCGAAGAACTCCGTTGGACTGCGCTCCTTCATCACGTAGCCTTTCGCGTGGAACCTCGCCATCTCTTGGAACGCGGCTACCGTGTATTCCATGGGGACGTTATATCTGGAGATCGGTGTAAATTGATGCACGTGTTGGTTAATATTTTTACGATATCTCGATTTTTGTAGTGAGTTTAATGACCTATCAATAATATTGTTCGGGGTTATTTTAACGTTTTAAACATTGAAAATCTAAAATATGACATTGCAGTGATAAATATTGAAAATATAAAGTTATTATTAACCACTTGCGCTGGAAATGAATTGAGAAATTTGGCAAAGTCTCCTGCGATGAACTTTTTTTTTACCTATTTTACGCTGATATGTAGAATTGTTTTGTTTGTTAATCATTCTGTATAGAGTGATACATAACAAAGGTTATTAATGTATGAAAGACATCATTGAGCATTTTCGGATAGAAACGTTTCGACGTGCGTGGCACGTATTTCCAGCGCAAGTGGTTAAAATAAAAAAATTATTTTTTATAGATTATATATCCATAGATATATATTATAATAACAAAAGATGGATGCGATAAAGAATTATTGAATTATTGCATTTTTTTAAAATGGTATCTGAAAAATTGTCTACCGTTTACTTTCACTGCTGTTTTAAACAATGTTTGGCATCTATCAAATTGAGTTTGTTAAGGATTATAAATCTCATCCACGAATATTAGAGCACTTCTTCAGGAATTATTAGAGTTCAATAAATAGTACTTCTAATTTCAAGTTTTCATTTCTTTCAAATGCAGTACAAGACATTATAGTTGAACGGAAGTGCACTTCCTATCACAGTGAACAATTGTAAACATGTTATGTCACAAACTATAGTGAGACACGGATAAAATCAGCGAAATGAAATCTAGAAAAATTAAATAATATGATGCATGCACATTTTTAAAACCGACCAAATTTAGATCACTTTGTATATAATGAAATTATTTAATATTTAACATTGTGATACATATATGACAGAGAGAGAGAGAGAGAGTGAGTGAGAGAGTGAGGGTTGGGGAGAGAGAGGTCTGTTGCCTTGAGCATTAATTACCACTGACCACCTTTGTTGTTCAACGCACGTATGTTTTACGTTGTGACAAGAAATAGGCTGTCTTTGCAAATTTTCATATGTTAAAACTGATTCTGAAACATATTTTCGAAAAGTTTAATTCTGAAAAAATCTAACTTTCAACTTCAAAATTTATTTAAGTATTATAAAAACAACTTCAATCAAAGTTATATATCGAATGTATTTTTTAAACGTTCACACATATTTAAGCAATTTTCGAAATAAATATATATCAAGCACTAACATTAGTGATAATTTTTAATTTATTACGAAACTTACGGGTCTGAGGCAAATTCTGACAACACGTGATAGAGCAAACCCTATCCATACAGAAACTATTAAAAAATACTGCAACATAAATTTTGTTCGAGAAAATAAAGTATTCCCGCAAAATACGAGGCATCACCAATGATTCTCAACGCCAGCCTGTGCTCCATATTTTCCTCAAGGGAGCAATCTTATGTCGAGAGGAACATCAAGTGCTCGTTGACGTTGAAGATCACTGGTGATCCTCGTATTTTGCAAAAGTATTTTATTTTCGCAATGAAAAAAAGAAAAATTACATTGTAATCTTCTGTCTCAGTTCAAATCGTTAGTATTAAAAATAGACCAAAAATATCTGAACATACCAGTTCAAAAACTGCTTAAATACGTGAAATATTCACAATATTGTAAAAATATTTTAAACAATTGCTTAAATACGTGGAATATTCACAATATTGTAAAAATATTTAAAACAACTTATAAAATTATTTTCTGCAAGGAAAGCTTATATAATTTTCAAGTTCATTGCTCATTCAATTAACGTATAAATAATTGTTAAAGTTGAAAGTCTGACTAATTTCCTGTCAAAATTAAATGTCTTATAAACAAAGGCTAACAGAGCAAGATTCTCAAGTCCAGTGATACAGTCATCTCTGGTTGAATTACAAAATGCATAAAAAATATGAATTTGCTAGACAGCGTTTCATCATCAGGGCCATTTGCCGTCTGTCTATCTACCTCCACGAGCTCAATGTGAATCCCCTCTCCTCGATGTTCTCCAGTGCGATCACAGACTTGACCGGCGGGTTTTCATCTGTGTAATAGCAGCCAGGTAGATCCTCGTGGCCGCGGGCGTATTGATTGTAAAACAATATCTCGTTGTGAAACTGAGCGTCGGACCTCAGCATCTCCCGAACGCCGGGGAACGGCGAAGGCCTCTTCACCACGACCTTGACGGTCCTCTTCTCCCCTTTCTCGTTGACGTGCTTCGGTGTGATGTTTAAAAAGAACATACTCGCTAGGAAGAACGACTCGTTCGGCGACGACAGGTCGTAGTAGGCATCTTCGTACTCCTTGCCTAGACTTCCGGTCACTTTAGCGATTAACAGATCCAAATCGCTTTGCTCGGATGTCGCGGGTTCATTCATCGCGGTGTTGCCCACAGCTGGGCGCAGCGTCAAGGCCTAAGATGACACTTTCTCCCGGTAGCATCGACCACTGCCAGCGAACAGTACCGACTGGAAACAGTTGAATGTATTGTGTTGCCGCACGATAACGTTGAATAAGATGAGACAAGCTGTAGAGTGGGGGATGTTAAGTCAATGTATGGAGAATTGCTAGCACCGGCCGACAGAAGACTCACGCGTGCACGGCAACGGCACGATTCACACTGAGCGAAACATTTCAGGAGATCTCTGGTGTAACCTGTGCCTGTGCCTCGATGACCGTCAATTATTTCTGAATCCTACTACTCGTCATCATCGTACGGTATTATGCAATTGCGTTTGTTCAGCGCGTTCTGATTATAACTTCTACAATTTGTTTGCTCGCGGTAATACCGACTTGGAATTCGCGTACGACCATGGTAATAAAATTCAGAGATATGCGTGTGACTGATAGTCGCGTGAACACATTTGCGGATTGATGGAAAATAGCATCTGTTATTTCCTTTGCTGGGATGATTAGGTGCTCATTTCTATTCTGCTGTGTCACGCTCCAGATAGCTGCAGCCGACACGCTTCTCCTGCGACGTGCATGTGAATTAATTGAATGATAGGCAATTGCTCGCTGCGCAGGCATTATCGTTCTATTGGCGGCTGAGATGTTACTCAACAGCAGAGGACTAGCGGAAAATATAACGTGTGATTTGCAAGGTTGAAGAGAGATTGTGAATAAGTATTGGTAGAGCTGTTTAATGAACTTCCTTTCCCTTTTGTTTTACAGTATAATTTATCATGTGCTAGTACAGGTGGATACTTTTTCTAGAATTTATATATTTGCATGCTCAGAGATCGAATGAAACTTTTACAATTTTCAGTTAATTATGAGGTAACGGTAATTTTACGACTTAAATTTTCTGTCCCGAAAAAATAGTCATAAAAAGTATATTAATGTGCTCACGTTGTAAATGGGTGTTGCCGTGAACTGAAATTATTTTATACATATTTGTGTGAGTTAGAAACGTTCATTTTCTTGATAGTAGAAATAAGTTCTAATTGTACAGATATATTTAATTTGCTTTGAAAGAATTAAGGTACTGATCAACAGACTTTCTGGAAATGTCTTGAAGTAAATGCATCTGAAACTAATCTTGAACCATACTCTTATTATATAAACACTCCGTTACATAAAAATCATAGCATGTTTCTCTTTTACATTTATTTTACTTTCGGATCCTTAACCCTTTGAGTACTATTGTCGCTTAAAGGTGCTCAGAAAACTTGCTCTTATGGTACTGTAGACGCTTAAAGGCGCTTCAAAATATTGCTCTTGTGATATTGTAGGCACTTATAGGCGCTTAAAAATATTGCTGTATTAGATTATTAGATATATTGTGAAAAAACATTAATGTTAATGTTAAATGTATTTTAATTATTTGAATATATTTTTTTAAAAATGCACATGTAACGAAAAGTTTCGCCATTCTTGGTGTACGTCGCGACTAAATTCCTACCATATCCTCTATTTCACCCTTAAATATCTGTGAAAAGAATATATAATCCTTCATAACTTTTCTTAATCAAATATAGAACAATGAAATTAATCTTAATTAAACCGTAGCTTAAAATGTAATTAAATCGTAATTCTCGCAGCAGAGTTAAATCATGAATGCACTAAATTAATTTCAAATAGATAAGGCATGGTTCAGGGCTTAAACATCGATAAACAGCTTTTATTTGCCCAATTTACAGTGCCAGTCGACCCTCTACATGACACATCTCAAAATTTCCCTGTATCATCATAGGTTTCATCAGCGTGTCCTACCAAACGATTTATATTATTCCTATACACATTGTTCTATCTTATCTTTATTTACGCACTCGCGAATACTCGTGTATGTATAGACTGTTTGGAAATTGTCGCTCACAAATGAAAGGGCGTGTACAACTCACTAAATCGAGTAAAAAAACTCCAGTAAACATGGGTTAAAATCTCAACAATGTTCTAGATAAAAATAGATTATCTTTGAAAAAATGTATGGCGACCGAATTAAGAACACCGTATTATCTCGAAAAATATCAGTGATACGAGCAGATATGCCAGACAAAAATTACAGGGCATGAAATACTACATATCACGATTGTTGTATAATAAAGTACAACATGTTTGACCGTGAGGTGATCTTGAACCGTTCTGCAAAGGTTACGTCACAATTCTTATCACATTATTCACCGACAAATTTACACAGAAACTATCCTATGTTGTCGGTAATTATTCCGTAATTAACACGTTGAACGCCGCACGATTTCATAAAGGGAAATACACAAAATGGAAAAAAATATAATATTAAATTATTTAATCGAATTGCATTATTACTGTTCCACATTCATCTAGCTGTATGTCACCATATTAGATAACATTATTTATAATATAGAAATGTTTTCATGTAACCATCGTTTAATTGAGTGAACTATAGTAATTCGATTTGGTCGGAGGTCTGGACATTCAGACGTTGTGTAAGCCGTTATCAATATAGCAGCATTTATCAGTAATTATTCTCCCGAAAATTATAAACGAAAAATCGTGATAAAGAACAGTGAATATCTACCTGCCGATGCAGGGAGAATAGGAAGGTAACTTAGCAGTAGGCTGTGCCTCCTCGTGTTATGTTTTGTAAATTACTCTAAAAGTCGCGTATACGAATTTAAAAATGTTTCAACCAAATTGCTCGAGCCCCTGCTTGACCGCGTCGAGTTACTGACTTAATAATCTCGACGACAATATTGACATATAATTTACTTACTTGAAGTTTGTTTCCTTTTTATGATGCAGTCCGATTGCAACTACGATCGGTTAGATATTGAGTTCAGCGTCCTACCTGGACTTTCCACGTGAAAGAGTACTTTCACTGAAGTATCGAGGTCGTCAGTGTTTCTTATTCCACAAACTCGTATAAACACTCAACAGGCTGTCGTCACGCTCTATCGCTTGTATACTTTTAATTCGATTCGCATTCTGTCTTCGAACTTATCTTACAAATATATTGTTTATATCTCTCTATAGATCTAACCAAGTATAGTAAGTGTAAACTACCATGCTGTGACGCATCGTTCGAGTGTTTACCTGCTGACAATGGACAAATGTGTTATTTATGTTACGCGTAGCTCAGGTTTCTACGTATAAGTAAAATTCAAATCTGTAATTTGAATTCTATTAATGTAATTTACTCTGCATTGAATTATAGTATAATTCCAGTGATGTAATTTACTTTGAAAATATTATTTCATAAAATATTAGTTTCTCGGTGTAATGTTTCTTGATTTTATGCAATTACCGTTTCAATCATTTTACAATATTTATTACATGCATAGTTTTAGTAACAACGAGAAAAGCAGCGAAAAAAATGTGAATCATCTTTGATCATTGTTCATCGTTCGTCACAGTGTATCGGGTTTCTGCATTGTTTCTTCTCCGAAGCTCGTATTTCCAGGGTCACGATTCCAACAAAAAGAGGAGCCCGAGAGAAATTCACGCTAACAATACTGTGGATCCGTGCGAGAAGAATAGGGAAGTGCCGCGGTGGGGTGGTTGGGGGCGAAGGACGAGCTGCCGAAGGAGGCGGAAGCCGCGATCCAGAAAGGCAAGCAGCGCGAAATCGTCTTCTTGGCTCACGAGACGAAATTAACTGAATTGGCTGCGCATGAGTGGACCCTCGGTGACGTACGGGCCAGAATGAAAGTGAGGATGCCGTGAGAAACCTCCCCGAGTGGAGACGTTTAAAGCGCGCGAGTCAGCGAACCACAACCGCCACATAAATTTCTGGCTCTGCCTTCCACGACAATACACGCAAACGGCACGGTCATTCTTTCTAGACCGCCGAAGCACGTCCGCGAGACCCTTCAAGTGTAAACATCGCGACGGACCATCGTTTTGTTTTTCAAATATTTCTTGCCGCTCGCGGCACGTCGGCATGCTGTCCAAGCGGCAAGAATTATTCGCGCTGGTGATGCAGCAGCGTTCCAATAATTCTTTTCTGGTCAGACTTATGCATTATTTGCAAATATGGAAGCTCGGTTTCTAGAGTGTAATTTTCTGATTATAATGATAACAATACTAGGTATTATGGATGTATGAAAAATTGTTTATTATTTACTAAGCTATGTAAAGCTATTTAAATTTAATTCCTGCAAGGAATAACAAAAAGAAATATTAATTATTTTTATATTAAATTATTCTTATATAGAATGATCAAAGCGGTATGTTATTAATAAATATTTACAATGCAAATGAATAATATTTTATTGATATAAATAGCTTATAGTATTTTTATAGACGAACTTTCATTATACATTGAAGTCTTCAACACTAGAGAAAAATTTTAGTTATTTGAATAATTATCCATTTGCAGTTTTCGATTGAAAATATCGAAACTTCAGATCTGCATTACAGCTGCGTTCAACTGTAAAACGTTAACATTGATCAGTGGAACACTCTCCCAATGAATTTTCATCGACGAAATCTGCGTCGGCGGTTTCAGTGTGATCTTCGAAAAACAATTTCAAGCGGGCAATTTGCATACACGTAAGGAAACTGAGGAAAAGGACGTTTAACCAGGAGACCGTCATAATTCTTGGTTTCCTTCCTGTTTGCGCGGGACGTTCGATCCGCTAGAAACAGCTCGAGACGAAAAAAGGAAGTGGGTGGGATTGCTCTTTCCGGTATGAAAGTATTTCTCGTGATTCCTTGGTTCGGGCGGCGGTTTTGCATAATAGCGGTTGACGTTGCTTTTTTAAGTGGTTCCGCGGCGCACGAGCCGCCCGCCTCTCACGTATATCTAGCCGAGCCCTTCTATGTTGTGCCTTGACACGATGAAAATGCAAATTCAATCGGTATCGAGCTTGAAACACTCGCGCGGCTCTTGAATGAAATTTAGAAAATTTCGAAGGAGACCGGCGGCCTTTTACCCACGGGTCTTATGAATTTTACATTAAACATCGCAGAACCGTGTTTTACGCAGAATTTGATATTCAAATAAATTATCTGCAGCGTTTGTTTGAACGCCGCAGCGTAACGGTTCCCCGCGAACACTGCATAGTGGTCCGGAAACTCGTTTTTCTTAGTCGAAATTCAATTTCTCAAGTTTAATATTTTGAAAAGTTCTTTTTGTATAAAAGGAAGATACTCTAAAACTTAGAAATCCAAAATATTATTCATTTTATATGATCGCGTGATCGAGTATAACGTGTTAAAGTGATAGTTCTGAAGTGGAACTAATTTTTCCAAATATACAGTATAATAACTATATTGTGATTATTTAATGGCACCGTAAGCATTTATTAATTTATGTGAAAACTATGCAATGTTTATAACAATTTAAATTTTAGGAAGAGTTCATAAAAAGTCCTTGCGATTGCTAAATATGAAGGTACTCTTATATGAAAATATAGATATTACAGGAAAAGAATACATACATTTTAGATGCTCCGTCTGCCACTTTCATTTTTATATAGATTTTAAGGAACAGGTGCACGGGAAAAATGAACTACGATGTTTTTGGTAAGGCAGAGAATTTATATTACAACGTTTTACATGTTCAGATAACATTAAATGGGAAAACCCAGAATAATTTTAGTAGAATATTTTGTATTTTACGATTTATATTTTATACTTTGTATTATATATTCTTATTTCTTGGTTATTTCATATTTATATTACTTATGCCAATTATATTTTTGTTGAGAAAAACTCAGTACAAAGGTTCCTTTAATTTCGGCCATGCAAAACCAATGTCTATATCACAGGTGCACGATATTGAATCCTCTATCTCGAATTTTTAATTTTTAGTGTCAGACTCATCATTAATGATCCTAAAATCCTCTGATTACCAATTTTCATAAAGTTTGCATGACTTTTGAATTTTGGTCGCAAAGAACAGATTTACAGACCACTGTGCGCTGCCTGTACTAAGGAGTCTTCCAAAGAAAAGAGCCGGTGCAGTTTAACCCTTTCAAGCTTAGTGATGTTGCAGCGATACCACCATTTAAAACTCTATTATTATAGCAGCTCACTGGTTTTATATTACTAACACCGCCCTATTTTGTAGATAGGTTTTGTAGATAGGTATTCTTCAGCTTTGTTAGATTTCGCGGTTTTTGGAACAAATAAAATTTATAGTTTTGGAAAATGTACGATCGCTGTTGGTTAGTGGTAACTACGTCAAACGTAAATTATAAAAAGTATCAACTGGAAATTTTTCCTTGAAAGGGTTAAATAAATTTCTCATATTTTGTAAGATCTCGTCAAAGGTTCCAAGAAGGTTGATTAGTTTCCTTCGTCCTTTTTGTAAAAACATTGTTCCTGTTTGAACTTTCAATTGACATTTTCGAGACAGTTTTAAGATATACAATTAGAAAGATGACTTTTATACGTCACCACGTCTGTGGGAGTGGTTTTCCTCGTTGAGACGGTAACGTGGAAGGGACCGTCAAGAAGGAGCAGCTAGTATTTCGGTACAAACCGAGGCAGATTAAATTTCCATTGCAAATTTCATTCGATACGGTTCTTCACCGACGCGACGATTTACCTCAATCCTCGAGCTGGCTTTCATTTATGCAACGAACGGCGCAGCGGACCGCGTCGATATCTCCGAGGCGAAAAATAATACGCGTCAAACTTCTTATCGATATTCCTGGCGGGTAAATGTGCGATAATTAGCTCGTTAAGATCTCACGACGAGCAATGCTGCACAGATTAAAGAATAAACTGCGTTTTTATATTTTTACATAGAATATGTATTAAGTCGTATTCGACTAAATTTATTATATAGATTTAGTTAACGAGGTATCTTGCGTTTAATATATGGGTATGATCATTTTACTGTCTAAATATGTAAAAAATAGCTAATACCGAGTGTTAGGGAATGTACTAATGTATTCTTTGAAAACTTAAATTAATTAGGCTTGCAGTAAATGTTAACGATTACAAACATTAAAAGTTCAGTATTCTTTTTTATACTCCGTTGCTTAGCAAATTCTCTTCCGCAGTGAAATTAATTCGAATAAATATACATCCATTAACAGGAGTTCGTATGTTATTATTAATATCTTTTCTAATTCTTCGATCGAGTGATGGAAGTACGTAATCATTTCTTATTTCAAAACGGAAACAATGTGCTTTAAGTACGCAAAAAATGAATGATTTCATACTATCTTTTTCAAACGTGGTTAACAAAAATATTTGCAACGAATTATACTTTCCCACGCATATAATTTCGTCGTTCCATTTTAAACTTTTCTACGGGTCGTTAAAAATATCCGTTAAACTGCGACGTTTTGCGGGATGCAAGGACGAGTTTTTTTAATTAAACAACGGTAGAGGTTCTTGCCAATTTTTCTCGGGAGAGAGTGGCCAAGGCGAGATAGTTAAATTAGTCGGCCGCCATAACGATCTAGTTTCCTGGAAAACGAACGATAACGAGGAGTGCCGTCACCGATTAGCGTTACTTGCTCGGAGCTCGACACTCATTAAGGTAACGAGCACCCTAAAATACTTCTCGGCGCGATTTAGAACGTCACTGATACGGCCACTGGATACTCTCCCTAGTGCGTCTGCTCACATCAGCGTCACCATTGTCCGAGTTCTATTTAAAGATTATGTCCTGCTGCTTTTGATAATTTTGGTTGTCCTGCCATGTTTCAGACAGATATCCTCTGAGTGTATAAAATACTAGAGTTGTTACATTCTACCTCACTAAACACCTTATACATTCATAATAACTATTACTGTTATTATTACTATTATTGATATCACACCCATTATGACATTATACTATGCCTATGTCATCTGAAAATGTGTTCATCATCACCCCTATCTAAAAACAACAATTATGTATACCGAAATGCTCCATCTCGTACATTTGACGAAGTGTAAACATAGCTGGCAGTCCAACGTCCAGATTTTTAGTCACTCCGACCTCCA